TAAAGACAAATACAATAAAATTTTAACCCGTGTTTGGTTGGTTTGGCAGGACAATATTGTATTCCTGAACATCTGCCTTTGAAACCAAACATTCTTTCATCAATACAAATTAGAGAACCGGGATTACCAGCAACTCTAATATTTCGAAAAAAAACATCAAAAATTTCTTTTGCCGCTGCGAAATTTGTTTCTTCTCTTTTTTCTTCTCTTTTATTTTATCATCGCAACGAAAACATCTAAACAATTCTTTAAACCTGTTTCTTTCCATTGCTATTCTTAAAAATAAAATCCCGAATTTTTGACTCCAAAGTCTGTCAGTATTGCCTTTACGTTGAAGGGCCCCAATATAGATCATAATTCCAAGAAAACAATCTATTTCTTCATAATTTGTTTGGCGCCAATTCCCTTCTAATAGCTCCAAACCCTTGTAATTTGTACCATCAACTATTAATTTAGTCATTTCAAAGGAAAACAATTTTCTAAAACAGTCAAGTGGAGTTTCAAATATTTCGAAAAAAGTAGTCTTTGAAAAATTTTCTTCGTTACAATAATTTTTAAATGAAAAATTCCCGATTCTGGGTTCTATTTTTTCCCATCCATTTTCAAATGATTTATTTTCGTTTTCAGGTAAATCTTCTTTTTCTATAAAAATTTGAATGTTATTTTCATCTTTGTCACAAAATTCAGGATCATTTCCTTTTTCATTTTCATCGTCACTTGAAAAATAATTATCATCAAAAGTATCATCGAATTGCATGTTTTCTCTGAAAAAAATAACAAAGGCAAAAAAAAACAAATTTGGTTATAAATTATTCAAAAATTGAGTTTTTTTGATTTTAGGCTATTTGAGTGTTAATTAAATAAACGTTTAATTTATTTATTTTTTAATTAGTTTTTTAGTTGACACTAATTGTTTTTGCCATCTGTTAAAAGGTTTTAGTTTTTTTTGAAAAAAAAGTTAAGTGTTGATTTAAATAATCAAGTTCTTTATAGTTTCAATTGTTCAAATTTGACAAAACCGTTATTTCTTTTTTATCTTTTAAATATTTTGAATTTTTGGTTCGAAGAAGGAATTTCTGTTTTTTTCATTGTGAATTGTGTACACGTTTCAGAAAACAAAAGAATTTTGTCTTTTTTTACTATTTTCAGTAAATATAAGAAATTTGAGCAATATCAACTTTGTTATCACCACAAAAGATTCTTTCTACCACTTTAGGATTTTTTACTCTTGCGATTGCGCACCCTAATCATTTTATGTTGGTTTGAATGATTTTATTTTTAATTGAAAAAAACATTATGAATGAGGAAATAAAAATTATTTTAAATGAGATTTATTCTAAATACATATAAAAACATATAAATTCCATTAACATACATGGAAAACGAGTTGTCTGCACTCTCAGAAATTTGCACAAACACAGCAAAGTTGGTGTCAGACCTCCACAAATCTAAAAAGGAATACAACTTTGTTGACGACAAGTCACTTGACATTGCACAACGCATTGAAAATGCAGAAGGACACTTCGACAGACTCGATGCTATATTTGATAGAAAGAAAATCATTACAGCATCACTCAACACAATTGTTACTACTTTGGAAAACACATCAAACAAAATTAAAAGTGAGTTGGCTCTATATTCAACACAGAGCGACAACGAAAAGTTGTATGAGATATTCAATGTCAGAATAGCACTTTATGAGGAGAAGTGTAAAATTGATACAAAACAATTTGAAGACAAAGACCAAATCAACAAAATTGAACAAATTAAAAACACCAAAGTTGATCAAATTATGAAATCGGAGAAATTCATCAATTCAAAGAAACAACACGACGACGATGTTGAAAATGAAAAACGCGAACACATCACACTCGAAGAAAAAGCTGGTCTTGAGAAATTGACGGGGTACAAAATTGAAAGTGTAGTATTTAACCCAGACAAAGACGACTGGTCAATAGGCACATCTGTGTTTGATGAAAAAGTCATGAACACGTGCAATTTGTGCTTTTTGATAGAAGACACAAATCACAACAAGTTTGGTGGCGTGTTTACTGGATATATCAATGATGTTAACAATTGGCTCAGCGGTGGCAGTTCTTACATCTTTTCACTTGTGAGAAATGGCACTTTGAATCCAAGAAAATTTGGTAAAAGTGGAAATAACACCAATAATGAATTTTATATTTATTATAAAGACAGTATACATCTCTTTGGATTTGGTGGTGGTCATGATATAGGTGTGTTAAAGAAAGGTCAAAATGGAAGTTATTGCGGCCAAGCCACTTACACCGCCAAACAGAACGAGTTAACTGATAATCGCAAATTTACACCAAAGAGTGTTGTTGTCTTCCAACTTAACTGACTTTTTTGTCACTTTTTGTTTTCATTTAAACTGTGCAACACGTTAACTACAAAATGCAATTTTTGTAATTTGTAATATCACCACAACTTGAATTAGTGTTCACAATTTTTAACAAAATTAGTCCTTTTTGAAGGGTTGTATAGATGGAAAGAAAAAAACAGAGAAGTTTTATCCTTCAAATCGAACACTGGAACGAACACTTTATTAGGACATTTTGGATGTTTCAATTAAATAATTTATTCTTTTCGCCCATCAATTGTTCTATCTGTGTATTATAATAATGCAACTTTTTTAATGGTAATAATTTAAATATTTGCTTTGAAAATAAAAATGATAAAAGGAAGTTATAATTATTAAAAAAATACATTTTCTATAAAACAAAGTATTTTTATATAACTAATAACATAAATAAAACTTGTGTAGTGGCAAAATGAAATTTAAAAAATTACACACAAAAAAGTGTGTTGTTCAAATTTATCAAATTTTATTTATTTACATTTATCTTAATATCATTAACTTGATTTTACAAAATTTGATCCATGTACTCAGTTTGTTTATTGATTATGTTTACATTAACATACGGAGTATTTTGTCGTTAATCATCTAAAAACATCTCAAACATTACAAAAAATAGATAAATTGTTAAAATAAATAATATAATTTAATGAAGTGCTACTTAATAGATTTACAATATATATATATATAAACTAGAATTCAAAAATCGATAGTGTATTTATTTTATTTTTTGGTAATATGTCGGGTTTTTTCTTACTATACTTTTATCCTCTTTTTTGGACCTAACAAAAATTTGAGGAAAAAGTGGCTTAAATTTACACATAAAAAATAAAAATACACCTTTTTTCAAACAAAAGTTGCTCAAATTTACAAAAGAAATAATCTTGAGTTGTTTCAAATAAAAAAATATCATAAATGCATTTCATTTAAACCCAATTCATGTTATTTTAGATTTGAAACAATTCAATTAAAAATTTGTCAAAAACAAACTATTTTAATGAAATAAAAAACATTTACATAAATAAACAATATTGACTTTTGTAAAACTTATTTTTTTAATTTCAACAAAAATCACATTGAAAACAAATTAATATTAATTAATTGCAATATTTAAACTTATAATCTTTAAAATGATTACATGTCTGTTATCAATAAAACAGATAAGCTCATTGTTAATTTATTAAGAGAAGGGAAATCATTTTCTTTTATTACCAAAACACTTCATGTATCACCAAACAGAGTTTCTTATAACAAAAAGAAAATTGAAAACAATGAAGAGTTAATTTCAAAAACTATAGGCAGACCTTCAATTATGACACAACAAAAAAATAATAACTTTGATCAAAAAAAACTTCTATTAATCCAGAATCAACGTGTTGTGATTTGGCTAAATGTATAAATGTATCAAAATCAACAATTCAAAGATACAGAAAAATAAACGGGTTTAAATATGGCAAACTAAAGAAATCTCCATTTTTAACAAAAGTTAACATTAATAAAAGATTAAATTTTTGCAAAAAGGCGGTACTAAAGAAAAATTATAAAAAATGGAAAGAGGCTATTATAAGTGATGAGTCGAGATTTGGATTGTTTTCTGATAATGGAAATTGTTGGTATCACAAAAGCAGGAAAATGAGATATAACAGAATAAATTCATTTAATATTGGAAATCAAACTTTACTTATTAAAAAGAACAATAAGATTTTTAAATCAATGTTTTTAACACTTCCAAAACACAACGATTCATTGATGGTTTGGGGAGCAATCGGAAATAGTTACAAATCACAATTGTTACTATGTGACAACAGACTTAATGCAATTGGCTATCAACACATGCTTGAAAGTAATAAAGTGTTTGATGATATTAGACGAAAACGCAACAAACAAATAGTCTATTTCCAACAAGATGGTGCCAAGCCATACACAGGAAAAACGACATTGAATTTTTTGGAGAACAATAAAGTGAGATTGACTGGGTGGCCTCCTTCAAGTCCGGATTTATCACCAATTGAAAACGTTTGGTCGATACTTGAAAATAGAATTAGAAAAAAGAAAAAATATTTTAAAAACAAAAAGAGTTTGTTTAGAGTGCTGAAGAAAGAATGGGAATCGATACCAATGGATACAATTAACAATTTAATGCAATCGATGGAAAAAAGATTTTCTCTTTGTATTCAAGAAAAAGGTAAATTCATTGGCCAGCTTCTTTAAAAAAGTTGCTCGAGAAAAAAAGTGTTATTACATAAATTGTATCTTATTTTTACGTGTTTTTAATTAAGATTTTCAACAATTAATGGTTTTAATTTTTGAAAAAAGTTGATATTGAAATATAAATAGATTCCGTAGTTTTCCCAAAACATTATGATAAAAATAGACCAAAATATTTTGGGGTACTATCGACTTTTGGGAAACAGTTTATATATATATATATATTAGTATATTATTTTGTACGTAATTTTCTTAAATCGATTACTTACATCCAAAAACAGAAATTCAAGAATAAAACATTATTTTTGATGTATTTTAAATTAAGGAACTCAATATAACACATTAATATTGAAAATAGTTTAAAGATTAATTATTTAATAAAAATAATAATTTTTATTATAATAACATTAAGGAAATGCTTTCTACTATATGTTCTTCGTTGGTAATTAAATCAGACAACATTACCTACCAACCCAAAGACTTGCTTGGTCGCACAAAATTCAGTTCAGTATATAAAGCGTTTTTAAACAGTCAACAAGTCGCTTTAAAAATCTATTCTTCTGAGTTATCTCGTGATGAAGTCAACATTTGTATAACAGAGATTTCTTTTATTCGAAGTGTCCACCATCCCAATGTTCTCTCTGTTATTGGTGTCTGTGACATCAATAACAGTTTTGGTATTGTTTCTGAGTTATGTGGTTGTAACTTAGACAATTTCATATATGGTGTTGACCTTTCTCTAGAGATGCAAAATATTGACTGGAGTCTCACAGGAAAAGCGAACATCTTCCTTCAACTCTGCAAAGGGATCCAATGGGTCCACAACAACTTTAACGCCTCGCACAACAATTTAAAGCCGAAAAATGTTTTAGTGACGCCTTCTGGTGTTGTTAAAATTTGTGACTTCATTTCTGATGAAAAAATTTCAAAAAAACTCTCAGAAGATAGTAATGAGACTTTATTGTACTGTGCCCCCGAATTATTAGAACTCAATTCGAAGTCCCGAGGCAAGGAAGTCGATATCTATGCACTTGGTGTGATCTTTTGGGAGATGTTATATGAGATGAAACCTTTCAATGAGTTTTATAATGAAGAGGAAATGTCGAGAAAAACTTTTAAATCAATGGTGACTAAAAACATAGCTTATTTGACACTTCCAAACACTTTTATAGAAAGGAAACGCAATGTCGAAAAGGTAAAAGAAAAGTATGGAAAGTACTTACAACAGATTCCTATTGAAGCAGAAGCCATAGTTGAGGCTGCGACCAGTAAGGCTTCAAGAAGATGTGACATCAATTCCCTCATAGAAATGACGAATGACTTTATTGTACAACTCCAAATGAAAGTCAAAAGCGCTTTTGTGTTTTGGAAGAACAATTTCTCAATAAAAGGAAAAGAAGTTGAACAGGTTATCACTTCAGAAATGCTGGTGGCAGCTTTACAGAAGACTTTTGATATTCCAAAAATCGACAAGTCACTAGTGGAAATGAATTTGGGGGAGTCGGGACAAGTCACTTTAAATCGCTTTGTCTTCTTAATGTCCGTCTTCGGGAAATTTTACAAGAAAAAAGAAGTTTTGATGAGAATGTATGACGCTATGCAAGCGCAGTGGTTCTATCCAAATTACACAAGAGACGAAGCGTATTCAAAAATAGAGGGGCTGGTCGATGGAACGTTTTTAATACGACTTTCTAAGTCAGACCCAGTGTATCCAATTACTTTAACTAAAAGATTTAATGGAAAAACTACAAACATTAGAATTGAATGTAAACAAGAAGGAAGTGATGAAATTAAGTACACTCTCAAAACTAAACAAAAGACTATTGAAAAGAATTCGCTGGTTGCTCTTGTGGACCAATTAAATTTTGACGGCTCAGTAACAACACCATGCCCAAAGGAAAAAATCGATACAATTTATTGAGGCGCTTTTTTTTATTTATTAACACTGAAAATTATAAATTTTATATTGTTTTTATTAAAATAAATAATAATAATTATTATTATTAATTATAATAATATTTTTATTATAATAAATACTATATTTTTAATATATTTATTAATAATATTAACTAATATAATAATAATTATTTCTTAATTTGTTATAGTAGTTTAATGTAGTTTTTTTTATATTAGTGATCTTTAAAGTAGCAATTTAAATATTTAGTAAAAATACTATTTAAATTATAATTTTTTATATTAAAAGAATTAAAAAAATAAACCATTCAAATTTAATATTATTATAATAATAAAACTAAACAAAAAAAATATATCTTCTAAAATCATTTTCAAGAATATAAATTTACAATTATAATAACATTTATTATAACAAATAATTAATATTAATACATTTTTGAAACTATCTTGAATAGCGTATAATTAATTATAATTATTAATTATAATATAAATAAAAAAGTGGGCGACTTTTAAAAAGACTAAAAAAGTCATTCACTTATTCGGAATAATGGAAATCACCCAACAGTTGTTGCAATATTATATCATTTAATAAATTTGATATTTTATTAATATTTGACTGTTGAATATCATTGTATCACATGAAAAAAAAAACATAAACTTCACTCGTGAATATATAAAAAATAAAAAAATTTGTTAAAAATACCAAAAGAACTTTTTAACACAAAAATGGTGAAATTAGAAAAGGTATATTTGATGAACGTCATTCTATTTTTAGATTCGTTAAAAACGTTCCAAAAATTTGTTTTAATATCTAAAGATTGTGTTACGGCTTTCACTATGCTCCGCAAAAACCCCAATTACTCATTAGAGACACTTTCAACTGAATTAAAATATTTTACTTACACTAAACATGAGACTCTTTGTTCGACATATTTAATAGGACTTCCTTATTTCCAGATAGCAAGTGTTTTAGATATAACAGTTACTGTCTCTGAATATTTTACATTAGTGAAACAACAAGAAATAGTATTGAAAATACGTAAGTTGACTTTAATACAAGACATTTCAATACTTCCTCTCATGCCAAATAAAAAGAACATATTTGACATCACACTATTCCCTAATATTCAACACATCACTTTTAATATATTACCATACGTTAACACTTACAACGATGATACAAATGTCATCAATTTTTATAATTTTAGACAACTGGAGACAAGTAAAGTCCTTACAATTCACTTTTATTGTTATTCCCCGTCTCGTTTTGAGTTTGACCAAAGTGCTGCTAACACCGGAGACGTCGCGCTGAGACTTTTAAACTTAAATTCTGAATTATTTGTGAAATGCAAAAACACCACTTTTTACTTTGTGACGGACACACCAGTAAACATCCGTAAGCTCCCAAATGATGCGGAGAATATTATTATAGCGTCAAGTGTGTTTACCGACATCCCCGGAGTCATCAATTTATACGACTGTGTGAAACGACCAACTCATATGGCACAAATCGAACAGAACTTTTTAAAGTACTATTTGATGGAACTTATTATTAAAAAAATCAATTTTCCAAGTTTTGCAAATTTTGAGAAAATCACAACGCTCACAGCTCTCACATTTTTTAAAGCAGATAAAGACGTGAAATTAATTCTGCCAGAAACACTGAGAAGACTCGAAGTGTCTATTGTCAGAAAATACTCAATAGAAGCAAATTTGAAGAACGTCACTTTTTTGAAAGTCAATGGAATTCTTAAAAGTGAGTTGGGAGATGGATTGGAAATGCTTTCTACAACAAATAAAGTCGATTGGATGAAGTGCACGAAATTAAGAGAAATTAATTTGGAAAATGTCGAATGCAATGGAGAAATTGTGTTGCCAGAAAGTACCACTAAACTTAGTATTGACGAACAACAAAATAAAGTTGTGGATGTCAGAAATTCTAAATTAAAAGTGTTGGAATTGAAACAAACAAAATTTGAAAGGGTTTTTGCACCAAAGTCGTTAATAAAAATTTATACCGACTTTGAAATTGAAGAAGTGTGCGGATTTCATGGAGAACTCGTTGTGAAATATAAAAATAATACTACATGTAATACATATACGAAAAATTGGTGTAAAATTGCATGAATTTATATTGAAAGATTATTTGTTTTGATTAGAATGTACAAATAACAATTTTTATTAAAAAATTTAAATAACTTTGAACTGATTTCAACCAATTTAACAGGTAAACAATATGAATTCAATTATGACTTACCTTACAAATAAATTCTTTTGAAATTAAAAATCCCGGGTTTGCATAGCTGAGGAGAATTATTTTCCAAAACCCTTTTTCTTGTCTACAAAGATTTCAACCAATTTAACATATAAAATTTATAAGAAATTTTTTTATTTAAAAAAATTTATATTTTGGTGATAAAAAGTACAGTCAAAAACGTCTATTTGTCGTAAATCCAACAGAAAAATGTCTCTATTTGTATTAAATTAGCAAATTTTGTAGAAATATCTTATTATCAATGGAATTAATTTTTTATTAAAAAACAATTTTTAATTCAACAAAATTTAAAGATTAATAGCAGGGCTGCAAACCGGATTCAACTGGTGGCTAGCCCGTGTTATTTTTTAAATATTTTCAGCCAGAATTTGTGTTTGGAACTATTATTATTAATTCGTTGAATAAATTAATTAGGATTTGTCAGCCAGTAGTGATAAAAAAATGGCTAGCCACAAAATCGTCCAAACTATACACATTCTAAAATGATGGTAAAAAAGAAAACCATTCAAATAATGAGGAATAGAAAGTATAGTTTCTTGTAGTTTTGAAAAGCCATAACAAATCTCCATGTTTTTTTAATAGTTTTAAAACATAGTAAATTAAATTAATGGTGATAGTTTGTTGTTTGTGTCAAACAAAAAATACATAAGTAAATTATAGTAATAAATGATTATTTATTCAGAAAAGAAACACACAGAAAACAAAAAGACAGAAAACAATTTGTTATACCATTAAATATTTATGTTTTTAAAAATGTTTATTTCTGTAAAATTGTAATGCATCACAATTATCTTTATTTTGAATAATTTTTATAACATAAATATGAACATTTAATTGTTTGATATGTTGTGTTTCTATTATATAACAATAATTTATTTTTTTACAAAATAATAATCATTAAGAAGCATTCGAAGTGTTTTTAATTTAATATTCAACAAAACGATGTACTATTGATAAAAGCAAGTGGATTGTTATTTGACATGTACTCAAAATACATATTTAAATAATTTATCTGGATATAACATGTTTTGAATTTTAAATAAAAAATTTAAATATTTAAAATATTCACCATTAACAATTTGTTTTGAATTATACCCATATAATATATTATTATAACAATATACACCCCAATTCAATGAC